CGATTTTTTGAAGCGCGTCATGACACAGAAGCATGGTTTGAATAGAAGCCGCTCCCTGCAAAGTACATGTGCACGTACATGCATGGCAGTATGCACTGCACAGTGTAGACGGATGATGTTGGCGTAGACGCATGTTTTGAATAGAAGCATAAGTTGAACAGAAGCATGGTTCTACCCCTGGCTTATCCGGCCGTAAGCACCTGCTTTTATACGCGACATTACGGTATATGATTGTTGTTCTGCTGTGAAGTTCAGAATTATGAATATAGCCACTGGTCCTGTACTGTGTATATGTACAGTGCTGGCATCTGACATCCGACCTCTTGAGCACCTGAGCGATGTTCACCTAGATTTCTAGCGGTCACTGTTTCGTAGTGTTATCGTCCTGTGTTGGGTGTTTGCGATGTGAGCGCACCGCCCAGGGGGTCAGGGGGTCAGGGGGTCGGATTTCAGTTGTCAGCACTGTAGTACAGGTGCACATTATGCAATACCACTTTTTATTTTATTTTTTACTAAATGCCATGTGGTGCACGCAATGGGAACATGCAGCAGCCATGGTTGTGGGTGCCGTGCAAGAGCACTTGTCACTAGAGCCTTCTCACCTGTCCTTCATCTTGTCTACTTCCTGGACCAGCTTGATCTTTTGCTCCAGGAGTTCGTCGTTCGTTTCCATGGTACTCCGCCATTTCTTCTCAATGGCTATGACCTAGACAGTATAGTAGGGATAAGAAATGGCCAAAAAGTCAGCGAAGGAATTCCATCTCCACAACATGCACTCTCTGGCTGACCTCATCACACCAGCAATAGCATGACTCTCAAGCTATACACAGAACAGTAAAACCTGTCAAGGGGACCACCTGTCCCAGAAGACCACCTGTCCCAGAAGACCACCTGTCCCAGAAGACCACCTGTCCCAGAAGACCACCTGTCCCAGAAGACCACCTGTCCCAGAAGACCACCTGTCCCAGAAGACCACCTGTCCCAGAAGACCACCTGTCCCAGAAGACCACCTGTCCCAGAAGACCACCTGTCCCAGAAGACCACTGCAACCAGGATCAAGTGATGCTATTTCCAGTCAAATGACCCTGGATAAGGAGACCACCTGGTAACAGAGACCACGGTTTTGAAGGTCCCTTGAGCGGTCGTCATAGACAGGTTTCACTTTAGTTATAAAAGAAGAAAAGAGGACCAAGGAACTACAAGTTATGCTATAATGTCCACTAACACCACCAGTTACTAAACAATCAGCTCATGCGATAACATTGCACGACAATGACCGACGGTACTGATGTTCTACAACTAACTGGCTAACAGCTCTAGCACATCTTGGATGCGCACTCCAACAGACACTAGGTATGTGATTATAGTATTTATAACTAGGTATCATGTTGCTGGTCTGATGAGGTGGGTCAGAGAGCGCATGTGCTGGACGTGTGGAATTGCTTCATTGATAAACAGGCTGAAAGCTGCTGCTTGCCCTTCGAGTATGAATAGTCACCGTTGATATTACCATACCTACAATGCAGGTATGATTGAGTAGAGAAATTGGGCTCACGTATGCAGTCAATTCCGTGAAATAACCTTGGACCCTACAGGGTTAAAGTACGAACTGTAGAATTTGCTGAGACCTACACAGCTTGTGGTACTAGTATAAAAAGGTTCATGAGGTGGGATTCGACTTTACAGTACGGTATTTTACCTTGTCTTTTGTGTATAGATCAGCAAGGTCCGGTGAAAACATCGGGTCTGTGGATTCCTGCTTTCTGATGGCACGCCGTGAGGGAGTCACCGTTCCGCTGTTCAACTCTTCATCTTTATCTTCCGCCTTGTACACACACACACACACACACACACACACACACACACACACACACACACACACTTGTACTTGTTGCTCACTGCCCAAACTGGTCACGTGGGTCTCCCGGAGAGGGGGGAGAGAAACTCAAGAGGAATCTTGGAAAAATGACACAATTGGCTATGGAACCGCCCAACGGCCGACACCCCCTGAAATCCCCAAAACTCTGGGTGGACTTGAAAACGATCTCACTTATGGGGTCACCACACCTCAGTAAGTGGGTGAGGACAAGGTGAAGAAAAAGGATTGAAGGCATCAGGGTATCCGTCCCGGGATCCAACTGCAGTTACCCCTGCCCCCAGTGAAGGTAATACTTGCTACTAGTGTGGGTGGCTAAATCAGAGTGGATCTGATATAAGCTTCACTAGCATCATTGATTCATTGATTACACAAGAGTTAATCTAGCCAGAAGCAGTCCATGGTTAACAGGTATGTATACTTCAAATAGAAAGTATATGTACCCTGAACCAACAAAGGTGGCAGGTACAACATTACACCTTCAAGCAGCCGAGCCGGTTGGCAACAGACCCAACACAATCAGGCATAAGTGTACCCACCAACCGAACACACACACACACACACACACACACACACACACACACACACACACACACACACACACACACACACACACACACACACACACACACACACACACACACACACACACACACACACACACACACACACACACACACACACACACACACACACACACACACACACACACACACACACACACACACACACACACACACACACACACACACACACACACACACACACACACACACACACACACACACACACACACACACACACACACACACACACACACACACACACACACACACACACACACACACACACACACACACACACACACACACACACACACACACACACACACACACACACACACACACACACACACACACACACACACACACACACACACACACACACACACACACACACACACACACACACACACACACACACACACACACACACACACACACACACACACACACACACACACACACACACACACACACACACACACACACACACACACACACACACACACACACACACACACACACACACACACACACACACACACACACACACACACACACACACACACACACACACACACACACACACACACACACACACACACACACACACACACACACACACACACACACACACACACACACACACACACACACACACACACACACAAGCACAGGTCTAGTTACAATGGGACCAGGACTAGTTGCAGTAGCCCCAACATGAGTACGAATAGGACAACCGCGGACAGCATAACCAACACAACTACCACCCGAATCAACAACATCACCAGCACCAGCATGAACCCTGCCAACGACATGTTCCTGACTAACTCCAACGCAATCCTGCATTGGCTACGTAGAATAGAATAGGTATGAATACAACAACGACGACGACGACAACAACAACAACAACAGAGTTGTTTTCTTACCCGTCGTTCTTCCTCGAGATTGCGTAATCTCAGTCTCCTTGCCTCTGCTCTCTCTGATCTCCGTTCTGCTAATTGCTTCTCGCCCTGGAGCCAGAAATATGCGACGATCATTGCGAGAAGAAAAAGAAACGCAGATGAAGGATATTATGTTACCACAGAGGGTAGGCTATGATGATGAGCCATTACAGCAGGAGTATAGCCTACATGGGGCACGTGCACCCGCCCCCCAAAAAAGGAGAGCCAGCCATGCCCATGCCATTATAGCAGGAGTGTAGCCCGCATGGGGCACGTGCACCCCCCCCCCTCCTAAAAATGTCAACCTACATGTAAGTTCAGCATGCACACAACGACCATGAATGACATGCACCAGCCATCCTACACCTGTGTGGCCGTGCACCCCCCACCCACCCACCCCCACCCCCAAAGGAGGGCCAGCCATGCCCCTGCCATTATAGGGTGGGGTGGCAAGGGATAGCCAGAAATTGGAAGCACCTTGAAGCACATCACGGTGAATGCATTAGTTTTAGGCCCGATTAGATGACCAACGTCATCTGCTTGCTGATCGGAAAGTTACTTGTGGTGTGCAAATAAATACACAGCGCAATACAACAAGACGATTGAGCATTCGGGAACACACGAGTCGACGAGTCCTGCGTTTCTATAAATCAATATAGTAAAACCTATGACTAGTGACCACCCCTTGGGGCCAGAAAAAGCGGTCTTTAGTGGCAGGTGGTCCTTAGTCAGCGGTTTGCACCGCACAACCGTAATATAATGTGAGACAGTCCGTGCCTGGCGAAGTGGTCTCTAGTACCAGGCTGGCCGCTAGTCACGGTGGTCTTTAGTTACAAGTTTTACTATAGTTTGGTGCCAGGTAACTGGTTACGTTTGTCGCACCTTCCGACTGTATGTCAATCTAATCACTGTGGAGACCAGATACTTGTAACTCGTATCCAATGAAGGTCATGAGGTTATAATTATCATGGTTTGACGTGCTTTGCATGCAGCAGGTGACAAATCCGCGGCCCAGTGGTTCGCGCGCGCTGGCTTCCAATACAAAAACTAGCACTGATTTAATTCTCTACCACACATTACTTGTAGACATTCTAGTTTGCCAGCAAGACCTCAATATAAACTAGCAGTGGTTGCTAAACAAAAAATATTAATTACAACACTAGCGCTGGCTTCCAGTCCAGACACTCCATACAATGGCACGCCGAGTACCTCACCCCTAAGCGGTACAGTCTCTTTTGTCCCTTCCCATATCTTTAGTATTCGCTCAGTTTCCGAGTGCGCTGTAATTAAATGTTAGCACTTTTTGGAATGTTGATTTCATGACGTTCTTTTGTGCAAGTCTTGGTTCGTTCGTAACGTTTAAACTGGACCAATGTTGAACTGTACGTCGTACTGAGATTGCGACGAATCATCTCCAACACATATCCCAAAGGGAGTCAGGTAAGCAAACTGGCCTCAAGTGGTCAGGTATGTCGTTATGGCATTATTAAATATTATTACCGGTAGTATTGATTTGCACCAACCTTGGTAATGACGGATTGGATGGCTTGATTCTCGGCCGAAGTGTTCCGTGACGAACGTACCCTTCCCGCCGTGCTAACGGTATCCGCACCGCTAGACATGCTAGCCTATTGTGCTGCGAACAGCGCACACTCCACGTCGACTTCTGCTACTCCTGCAACAATGAGTTGCAGATATGTATAAGTAAAAATTAATGATAACAGTAGTCAGTGCTGCTAAAGTAAATGGAACAGGTTTCTGAGAAAAAGCAAAACAACAAAATAATAATTATTGCAGAAGACACCCAGTGCACTCAGCTGTCAGCAGTGTGCCATACACTCGGAGTCATAGTCAGTGCATCTTTGTTCTTACAGCTTGATTATTATGAATGGTTGTGATACTTCAGTACTGAGAATGCACGTTATTGCCGACGTGACGCGCAATTTCACGTCCAATTTTGCGTAAAACTCCAAATTTTGACGTGAGCTAGCTGCATGGCCAGCCAAATACTAAACGCTTGTGGACAATGTTGCTGAACCATCGGACCTTATTTGTCAGCTTGGATCACGTGATCCATCCAGCTGCCGCGTGCGGCAAACAGCACAAATAGCGCCAACTCTGGCCTGCGAGCGTTTGCTGCGACTAGCGCGCTAGCGCTCGTGACATACACAAACGCGCTAGCCAGAATGTTTGATGGCTTTCAGCTTCTATTTTTTGAAAAGTAGCGCGCTCAGACCAGCTCGCTCACTCTTTTCCTCTTCCATTTTTTAGGGCAATTGTTTTGTTTGATAGACGAAGCTTAGGGTCTCTTTGGGTTTGCAACCCTTACCCTCCTGGAAAAAATCATAGTTGCTAGACTGCGACACTTCAGACCAGGTACTATTAGAGCCGCTAATGGACGACGAGCTATTTTCCGCTATCCGGAGCTCAAGCATTTGAGCCGCTAAATGGACGAGACTCCTGGGGTAAAGGATGCAGAGAATGAGGAGAAAACACTCGTATGGAGCAGGGAGTAGGTATTGTACTACTTCCTGGTATGGAGCACTGAGAAGCGGTAAGTCTTAGGGCAATTCTTAGCCAGTAATTACTTTCTCGCCATAATTATGTTCTCGTTTTTCGTGTCTTCTGTAATGCCAGTACACTAGCAGTACGTCTACACTGTAGGCGAGAGTCCATAAGCCAGAGTGTGCAGCTCTCCATCTATGCAGCATAAACAAATTAATGAAAATTTCCTTTGCCTAAGGGCTGAGTTCCACTGCCGCTCCGCCGCACATCATCCACGGCATGAACCGTCATCATTACAAGCTGGTCCAGCGAGGCCGCGGCTCATCACCAGCTTTCGCTTCGCTGCTTGATACAAAAAATGCAAGCCGCGGTCACGGCTTGCATTGTTTCCCGCACTTAATTGTTTTATTCGAGGGAATTTTAATTCGTTGCACAGGCCAGAACACGAGGATTTTTTTGGATTTCACGCGCAGGCAGGCTAAAGTTCATGTACCGTAAAGTCGGGGATAAAAGCCGGGCTTATAAGCACATAAGCCGCTTTCTGCATCAGGCTTTAATGCAAGCCAGGCTTGTATGCAAACCATGCTTATGTGCATCACTGATATTTTTGCCAGGCTTGTATGCACATAGCAGCCAGGCTTCTACGCGCGACATGCGTAGATCTACCACTGACTACCGGTATGACGGCAGTTTTACTATGCACCGTACATAGCGCATGCACTCTTGACCTACCCGATTCGCGCTTGCATAGAAGCCAGGCTTCTACGCGCGACAGGCTTATATGCATTTGACCCGTTTGATTTTCAGGCTTCTATCCGCGATGTGCTTGTATGCAAACCCGGCTTTTATCCGCGACTTTACGGTATACCCAGCTAGGCTGTATGGTAACAGTACAGCACAGTGAGTACAAAGTCATGTAATACTATGTGAGTACATCCATACCATAGAGTGAGGTGAGATCTGCAGTAAGTGCATGTGAACATCAGCCGATGTGGGTCTAGACCCAGGATTGTCATGCAGACACGACAAGATTAGAGAATGTAGTGGGTGATCCGAGCCCAGTCGATCCAGGTCTGCCTTGCGTCGGCGACCCTCCGGAACTGATCTCCGCGTTCCATTTTCCAGGAGAACAGTAGCTTCAGTTGGGGATGGTGGTCGTCCCACAAGCAGCGACAGCATCACCACTCCTAGAGAAAACACATCCAGTTTCTCGTCGTATGCTGTTCCTACTTGTAGGCTCTCTGGCGGCATAAAATAAGGCGTACCGGGGCAGGGGTCAAAGCCGTGACGTCCGCACCTTGACTACCATGAAGAGTGCGGGCCAAACCAACATCAGCTATCTTGGCTCGCCCTGCCGTGACCAAGATGTTACGTGGTTTCAAATCGCGGTGCAAAATGTTCTTGCCGTGTAGAATGCGCAAGCCTTCTGCCACGTCGACTAAATACTGAAGGCTTTGAGCGAATGGCTCTCTTGGCTCAACTCCAATTCGATCAAATAGCGAGCCGGCTATCAGTTCTACCACTATACACGGAGATTGATTGGGAGCAATGCCGATCCCGAGGAGTCGCACAATTCTTTCATGGTGCAGTCGGCGCATGACTAGGCACGCAGTGCCGAATCGCTGCAAAAGAGCTGTACGCCCGACATTGCCCTGTTGGAGTAAAATACTATGTAAGACCTTCACAGCAACAAGGAGACCCTCCAACTCACTTGTATAGACCGTGGCATCCAAACCACGGCCTATCTCGGGTTTGTTCAGGTCAACTTGGACGAATCCAAGCCAAATCGAGTCTGGGACACCAAGTCTCTCTTGGAGCTGAGTCTCAAAGTTGAACCTTGCCATTGCACTAATATAGTAGTGTAACACACAATCGTCTTGCTCTCGCAACTGAGTGTTTGATTGTGTCTGCGAGTGTTCAGCACCTTGTTATGGCGTTAGACGTACACTGCATTGAGTGTGTGTGTGTGTGTGTGTGTGTGTGTGTGTGTGTGTGTGTGTGTGTGTGTGTGTGTGTGTGTGTGTGTGTGTGTGTGTGTGTGTGTGTGTGTGTGTGTGTGTGTGTGTGTGTGTGTGTGTGTAGTCTGTAGACTACAGTACAGACTTGTAGTGTAGTCCAGTTCCGCACTGGGTACCGTATGCATTCCCGTTCTCACCTCCCTGTTTGCAGTCTAGTAGTAGTAGTACAAATACAATGACATGTCATGGACCTACAAGTACAGACATGAAGAGCTCTCTCTCTCTCTCTCTCGCCTCAACACTAGGTGGTGAACGTTTTGATCGCAATCGGCCACCACTGCACCAGTACCACAAACGGCGCAGCCGCATGCCGAAAACGCCCCGTTCGTAAACATTTCGGAAAGCGATCCTCCAGTACCCAGTGCAGTACTAGTAGCGCATAAAAATGAAGCTGACATGAATCATGGACAGCTAGCCTGCCTGGCTAGCTGGGCGGCCGACCACAAACTGACTGGCGAGTGGCGAGTAGGCAGATAATATTACCGGTATGCCTTTATCACTCTCTTAGTATTGACTCCCATTGATTTTCGATACCTAAGAAGTCAAATATTCCTGCATATTTCACTCCTTAGGGCTATATTGACTGCTTATATTTGACTGCTTAGGGGTTGCGCAGTTGAACGGTGCCTAGTGCAGCATTGTCACTGCATGAGTAGGTGGTGGTGCAACAGTTGTTCAATCATAAAACCGGGATTCATGAGGTTGTCGTTCTGGAATTTGAAATACGGACTGTTTGTCGTGATAAATCTAATATTGACTTCGTACTTGGTCAGTATAGGAAATAAAAATCTCGTAAAAGACCTCGGCTTCGCCTCGGGCTTTTACTCGGCTTTTATTTCCTATATTGACCTCGTACTCAGTCAATATTAGATACGTATTCTGTTGACATCATCAAACAAGGCAAACCAACAATACAAGGAACGTAACCATGGAAACTGTTGGTTGCTCCCTAGACTGAATATCGTGCTATCCACTGAGTCTGTCAGTGTCAGTGAATTGTCAGTGACTCGGCTTGACACTCGACACCAGTTGACGGCTTGACGACTGTCATCCAGGGCACACGCCATACCCATTGAGCCTTCGACCGGCAAACGTGCAAGAAAGCACCAGTCCCTGTTCAATGCACAGTGTTTCGTGGAATTTATCTCTCATCAGTTGAGCTTGAGAAATACTGCGCTTGAAGAGCACCACTTTCATCGTGCTCTCCAGGCCATAACATCAAGCGTTCAGAGCATGCATGGAGACAGAAACGTTAGTCGAGGTATTCCCCGTAATGGGATGATGCCAATAACGTCAGGACTTGAGCTGGACCCTCCACTTTTGCTGGGACCAGAGAAACATCGAAGTATGTGAACGCTCGGAGCAGAATAGCGAATTGCTGGCAAGCTAACACAAGTCCAGAGCATGCACTGAGGAAGTAACGTTAGTTGAGGTATTCCCCGTAATGCAACAGGCGTGGGAGTGCGAACTGCTAGCACATAATCCATTCACTGGCGGATGCGACAGAGTTCCGTATAGCTGGACTGGAGTGTAATACAGTCTGAAGGGCAGGGCACTCTCATAAAAGTATTGATCCTGCCAGCGGATCAACAAGGACCAATCCTCCGGGCGGACGGGAATTCGGCAGAATGCACTTTTAACATTGAGCTTAGCAAGATACACCGGTGCGAGCACAATTGTGGAGGAAATTGTTTGGGAACGCATGTTCCGCAAGTTGCATGCTCGAAAGTCGAAAACAGCAATGACATGCTAGAGACATTGTACAGGATCTTGGAGGGCGCATGACCATGTGACTCGCGCATGCGTGCAGGTCGGGCCAGCTCGCTGGGCTGCCTGCTAACTTGCGTTAGCATGCTAACGCTCATTATGGTTTAGATCGCATTATTGTAATGGTCGCGGTTTGATTTCAAAAGACCATAGAAAGTGCGGATGGCAACCAACAGGCTCAAGGCTGTGTTGGGACTTCGTGTGCGCGACCCGAGTCAATTGTTTACTCACCATGACTAGGCATCGCATTGAGCATCGTATGACCACTACTATATGTCACTATTCTTAGTCGCACCGGGGGGCGCATGCCCGTTTTCAGGAGACTTATCAAAACACATAAGCCCTGTGCCCTGAAGGTTAGGCCTATTGTTAGTCTGAATAGTCTTGGCTCCTATCCCGCTAAGTTCATTGACTTTCTACTGAACCTGTATGTACGTGAGGAAAGTACTGTTCTGGCCTGAGCTACGGATTTCATCAACTTGGTAGAAGGTTTGTCTGTGCGGGACGATCATTTATTTTTGAGTATAGATGTGACCAGCCTTAACACCAACATCCCCAACGAGCTCGGTCACGTGGCATTGTCGTGGTATATCACACACAGGTATACAAGGTGGATGCCCCGGCCCTTCGTACACGGTTAACAACAGCATTGACTTCCTTGATGTCAGTCATTCGGAAGACTAACGAGTTCGTGTATGATAACGATTTGTTTCCGCAGATCCAAGGGACTGCTATGGGTTCGCCCGCAGCAGTGGTCTATGCCGACATTGTTATGCTGTATTTGGAGAATCGGTAAATTTTGCCGATCTTAGAGGGGGAGCCTCCGAGGGGTTAGAGGTTCAGGTTTATAGACGCTTTATCACATTTTTGTTTCATTGCATGGTTGCGAAGGTCAAGTTCAGCGCGCTTTAGACAGGATTAATAGGTGTTCGGCCCTCGAGTTTGCGCATGAACTGGCACATGATGACATTGATTTCCTGGACACCACAGTTTTCCGTAGTAAGAGATACATGGCGGTGAAGCCTCATTTCAAGGTCACCAATCGTTTCCTGTATCTGCTTGCCGGTAGTGACCACCCCCGTAGTATGGGTAAAGGTGTGTTCACTGGGGAGTTGATCCGTATCCGTCGGTCTTCGACCCTTCACCACCACTACGAAGCTGCTGCTGAGCAGCCGAAGCAGGCTTTCCGGGCCCGTGTATACAAGAGCTCCATCTTTCATCTTTCAGACCGTACACCAGGCATGCAAGGCCGGGCCGCCCCACTTTTTTGGCCGTTTTTTTGTTCTTGTTTTTTTAGCACACTGCAACAAGGCGCGATGATCGCAGCTCAGCTCAAACGTGGCAAATAATGAAGAATCATTGTCCCAGATCACCGATCCCGTCCCCGATCCCCGATCCCCATCCCCGATCCCCGTGGTTTGTTACAAAGTAAAAGAGTCTTTCATTGTAGTTACACTGAAATGGCACAAAATGCCCGGAAATGCTTGCAATTGGCTTCAATTTTTGACATTTTTACCGCGGAGGGCCCCCGGACTCCCTTGCAGGGCCGCCCTACCTCCAAAGTCGGTGCGACGGGCCTGGCATGGATGCGCAGGGAAGGTATGTTGGTCAGATTGGCATGGGTTTGGGTTATTTCTGTAGTTGTATACAGTGTTCCTCATTGTATTTACCTTGGGCCGGCCTGCTGTCCTTCGCCCATTGGTCTTGAGGTCCAGGTGTAATACCCCTACCATACAGTCCGGTGGCCAGCGCGGCCCGGCAAATTGTTGTTACAAGGTGGAACATCGGCAAGAGATTGCTTGTTCGTTTGCCTCATGCTCAGTGTCCTCAGGGAGTTGGTATTTTGCTTCTGTTTGGATTTTGCAGTGTCTATGGTGTCCGTAATTGAGTTTTTGTTCTGTGTCCTTTTCTGTGGTGTGTGGTCATTGTTCACACATCTTTATTTGACTTGCTTCCTGGTGTGGTGTATCCTTTTGTTTTATCATTGGTGCTGGCCTGGCTGTAGAGTTCTTGCATCCGTAGCTGCCTCAGGGGTGCCACTTCTCCCATCGGCGTCGACTAGTCCGTAGGAAAGGACCAACCAAACTGCATCCAACCATTGGTCTTGCCGAAAAAAAATTATGGCCATTGCATTCTTCTTACGGCAAAAACTTTAACTTGTTTGCTGGCTAAAGCTGAGTCTGGCAATTACATGTTAAAACTAGCAATGTGCTGTCTGAACAATAAAAAAATTCAGACAGCACATTGCTGCCCTGCCCTGCCCTGCCCTACCCTGGCCCCTGTAGGTAAGAACTGCACAGCGCTGTCAGCGCTGACAGCGCCTTTCAACGGCAAGGTGACCGGAAAAGGTGTCACGCCCGGCACTGGTCTCTTCTTCGCCTGCAATGTACCCTACGTACTCCAGGGCAGCGTCGTGCGCTACTGCGACGTCTCCGGAACGTGGAGCGGCGTTCCTGCTACATGCTCAAGTAAGCGGTGCCAATGCTACTGTCATGTGTTCCTAATACTTCCTAATAACTCCTATCATGTTATCATGTTATCATGCCATCATGCTATCAGGCTGGCAGGCCAAGTATTGTGTTGAATACCGTAAAGTCGCGGATAAAAGCCGGGTTTGCATACAAGCACATCGCGGATAGAAGCCTGAAAATCAAACGGGTCAAATGCATATAAGCCTGTCGCGCGTAGAAGCCTGGCTTCTATGCAAGCGCGGATCGGGTAGGTCAAGAGTGTATGCGCTATGTACAGTGCATAGTAAAACTGCCGCCATACCGGTAGTCAGTGGTAGATCTACGCGTGTCGCGGGTAGAAGCCTGGCTTCTATCATGTCTATGCAAGCCCGGATCGGCCGATGTGCATACAAGCCTGGCAAAAATATCAGTGGTGCATATAAGCCTGGTTTGCATACAAGCCTGGTTTGCATTGAAGCCTGATGCAGAAACCGGCTTATGTGCTTATAAGCCCGGCTTTTATCCGCGACTTTACGGTATCTATTTGAATGATATTAAATTGCTACTGCTGTGCAAAGATAAACGAAGCATGCTCTTGTAGCAGCGTATCATTAACAATTGTCCCTTGACGGATGTGTTCATTTTCTTTCTCTTTTATCTTCAGTCCCTGATATTCCCTGCAAGTACCACGAGTTCAAGTGCGGTGGCAGTGGTGGTTGCATCTCGACCACCAAGGTCTGCGACGGTGTGTGGTATGACTGCCCGGATGGCTCCGACGAGAGCAACCGCACTAGCACACGCGGCACTGCAGCACCAGGTAAGACGAGCGTGTAGAGGGTGAAATAGTTCTGTGACTCCTGCATCGCGGCTGAATGTGCATGCATGTGTCACACACTGTTGACAGGCATGCAGCCCCACTGCATGGCTTGCATGTGTATGAGTGTAGCTAGGTGTTCTGGATGCAATGGATGGTATTCACACCTCAGCCTGCCAGGCTACAGCCTATGGAGTGTGACATGGGCTGTGTGCTCAGCTGCAAGGTGATTTACAGCTGTGAAAGGTGCTAATGCAGCACCAGTGAAGTGTCAGTTGGTCTGCTACGTATGACACCTTTTTCCCCACCAAATCTTTACCAGCTGATGGCATAAAAACTGCTGTCTGTCTCTGGAGAGCTCATTGCAACTCCCTCAGTCTTCAATGATTTCCTTTCCACTGTCTTGGTACCAAAAGACATGCTTCCTCCCTTACTGAACTCGTAAGTGGCCTTTGCTCAGCTGTTAGATGCTGGATGAATATCTTTGAAAGACAAATATTTGTGTTCTTTTTCATTTGCTTTCTTGCTTGCTTTCTTGTGTGTGTGTGTGTGTGTGTGTGTGTGTGTGCGTGCGTGCGTGCGTGTGTGTGTGTGTGTGTGTGTGTGTGTGTGTGTGTGTGTGTGACTGTCTGACCCAGCAGACTCCACCAAATGGCTACATCCAGGGAGCCAGCATGACCAGCTATAGCAGCCAGATTGCGTTTGGCTGCTACCAGCCATACGTTCTCCAGGGACCTGCCACCCGCACCTGCCAGCTGAGTGGCAAGTGGGATGGTGTACCACCTGTCTGCACATGTAAGTAACGTTACTGATGTCCTTTGCTGTGACTTCTGTGATCTACACTGGGATCATGTACGTGACTGTACTGCAATGTAGTCAGTGCTGCTCGCGCACTGTGTGCATTTGTTGTGCTAACCCTAACCTTAACCCTAACCTTTTTTTGTGCGTACATGCTGCAAGAAATGTTTATTTGGCATGTTCTTTAAATTGTTTCTTCGCCTGCTGAGTATAGGTAAAGATGTGATACTCTACATTTGCGTTGTTACTGATTTTGTTTTGTTGACGTTTGTGTGCACAGTGGCTTCGCCTTACAAGAGTGGCTTCCAGCCATGTCATGATGGTACCTGCCTGGCCTCATCCAAGTTCTGCAATGGCGTTTTCTTTGAGTGTCCCGACAACACAGACGAATATCAATGCGGCACGACTGGACGTAAGTTGAAGCATGTGATCAAATCGGCATGTATCACAATGAATGCATGCTGTGGAGTAAGGACATTACAAGTCCATTGCTTCTCCAGGACACTGGTTTACTTCTTCTTGGATTTCCTTACATTGTGCTTGCAAAGCACACACACTGGCAGATGTTAATTGGTGGCATTGGTTTCCTGATGGTGTGTGCCTGTGCCTGTGTGTGTGTGTGTGTGTGTGTGTGTGTGTGTGTGTGTGTGTGTGTGTGAGTGGTATGTGCAGCGATTTCCAATCGATAGGTTGCGGGTTCGATTCCCGACGATTATGGTCACACACGTCTTTCTTCTCTTTCTCAGACTCTTCCTGACTTTTCTTTCATTCTCCTGGGTGGTTACCAACAGCCAGTGCATGCCGGAGTATGTGGTGTGATGTGTGTGCGGGAAAAAAATAAAAAAGACCAAAAAGTAGGGATTCACTGGCCAGAAAAAAGCCACTTCAAAGCTGTGTGGTGTAGACCAGGCTGAATAGTGGTGGTCAATTCTTCAGCCTTGCAAGCTGTTGAATGGTGCAATCCCAGCACAATTTGCTATGGCTTCTGCTGTAGGATCACTATCATCGCCTCTGGCGATGGGCGTCCAATGGTCAATGGTCAATGGTGTGTGTGTGTGTGTGTGCCTGTGTGTGTGTGCCTGTGTGTGTGTGTGTGTGTGTGTGTGCCTGTGTGTGTGTGTGCCTGTGTGTGCGTGTGTGTGTGTGCGTGTGCGCCTGTGTGTGTGTGTGGGCCTGTGTGTACGTGCCTGTGACGTGTACAGCCGGTGTGTGCACACCGCTAGCTAAACCGACCAATGTCTACTCCCAAGGCACAAACTATTCTGCTGGAGGCAGCGTCGTCTTCGGCTGCAATTCCGGATACAACCTGCAGGGAGGCATTGTGCGCATCTGCCAGATTGACGGTTCCTGGAGTGGGGCAGCTGCCTCATGTAATCGTAAGTTGAATTTCAAGAGAGCCAATATATCCCTCTTGTGTAAAGAAGCTTCAGGCTTGTAGGAAGGCAGATTCTGGTGGCGTTGATCTTTCCTATTTACAGAGCATGTAATAGTCTGGGTGTTACCTGCCACTTTTCATCATCACAAATGATGATCGAGCTAATCACAGGACCCAGGATCAGTCGGGCATCTCAGCCTGAGTCCTTAGGATATATGTTATACTTGTAGGTGTATGGTTAGGGTGTTTACTGGGTACCAGAACACTGAGTTGTTGACATAAGCCGGTAACTTTTGTCGAGCCTGTTTTAGGCTACCCCCTCCTCCAAATGTACTAATATCTCTTGACTGTACGAAAGATGTGCCGAGCAGACACTTTCTTCATCTCTTGACTGTTTGTGTGTTGTGTGTATGGGTACGTGTATCCAGCCATTCAACTGCAGTGTCAGTCTGGCTACCTGCCCTGCCTGCGTTCCAGTGGCTGTATCCTGCCATCACAGCGCTGCGATGGTGTTTGGTACGACTGTGCTGATGGCTCTGAGCAGTACTGCCCAGGCAAGGCCACACCAGCTCCAGGTAAGCACCAGCAGCAGCAGCACTGATAGTAGTACCATGAATTCTATTACAAGCAAATGTAGAGCTACTGTTGACCGCTATTTACTGCTGTATCTATTTTATTACTTTGCATGGCCATGTTGAGGCAGTCTTCGCATCAATTTCCTTTACACAATGCGGGTACTACAATGTATTCAAAACCAACGTCTGTGCCACGCACACATACGCAAACATTTTAGGGGTGAAACGAGTATATCGAATACTCGAGCGCTCGCTCGAAAATTCGAAAGGAGGGAGTACTCGTTTTGCAAAATACTCGAAGTATCCTATGTACTGTATGCATGTACATCACGCACTTCTGTTACTCTGACCAGTACTGATAACCCATGCAAGCGTGAAATTATTACTTGTCCCTACTTACCAACAAAAGACAGTAGTTCAGACTATTTCCTGCACTAGGCTTCATGCAAGGCTACATGTGTATCAGGTGTAGTACGTTCGGTGTTACGAGAAAGTGTGCAGTACATTGTTTTATGTTGTCAGTAAAATACTCGTACTCGCTCGAATACTCGCTCGTCTTTTCAAAGAGTACTAGAGTACTAGAGTCCTCAATTTTGGCACTCGTTCTCCCCTCCTAGGCCAAACATGCATGCACTGAATGCCTGTGCTCTGTGCTTGTGCAGGTCAAACCGACTGCCAGGTCCTGTCACAACCGGCACTGGGCTCAATGACCGTGAACGGCTTGATGTTCAGCAACACGACCACGTTTGTGTGCACATCTCCCTACGTCCCCATGGACTCGGCCGTGCGTACTTGTGAAATCAACGGCCAGTGGAGCGGTGTGCAGCCAACTTGCGTCCGTAAGTACATGTACCAATGCTTGACTGGCTTGTATTATGCATCCCCGTTCATCACACCGCTCATACTGTCAAAAGCTGCCTCTTCTCATTCACAATGGCATGGATCACAGTAGATAGGCCTGGTGCAGGTATTGCCAGTTCCTTGCCTGCTGCAGTACAGTATGTATTAACTTAGCTGGTAAGCAGTGCATGTGTGCATGGAAAGTGTTTTAATTTTGTCCATTGCTTCCCAACCCACACTGCCAATCCCACGTGTAGTGACGACTGCTGCTCTGAGTGCGGCCAGTGACGAGCTAGTCAAGGACTCCATCTCAGAACGCATGACACAAACGTGTAAGCCTAGTATTGCTGCATACTTAGAGTTTTGCCAGAATAATTTCCTTGGGGCAATTTCTCCTACTGCTGACTGCTGAAAATGTTGTGTCCTTCATAACTAGTCTTTTTGTTCCAAGAAGTCTGCCTCTTTCATCGATTCGTGTTTACCTAGCTGCGTTACGCTATTAGTAGCCTAATACCTGTTGTGCAATGGGGCTGGCCTAAAAGCTGCTCGCTCAACAGCGGTGTTGCATGGCATAGAGAGAGATGGCAAGCCGCCTCGGCATATTCGCGGATAGAGCTTTTAGTACAAAGGAAAAGGACATATGGATACGAGTTAAGAGTAACTGCCCTAGATACTACAGTAAAAAAATGCAACAACTAGGCACAAAACCAGCTTGTGCTCATTTTTGTTGCGCTTACCTTCCCCTCTTTGGTCTCTCATTTTAACCTTGAACCTTCCAAGTTGGAAGGCTGGACAGAGTGCTGAGACATTCGACGACCTGACTCCTAGCTTCAACACATCTCCGTAGCGCTAACCAAAAGCCTTCCAACTTGGAAGGTTCAAGGTTAAAAGGAGAGACCAAAGAGGGGAAGGTAAGCGCAACGAAAATGAGCACAAGCTAGTAGTTGAAGCTACAGTCCCACAGGAACAAGAAATGTTGATTGTTACTGGACGATGACGAAACCAGTATTACCTTTCCCTCTTTGGTCTCTCCTTAACCTTGAACGTTCCGAGTTGGAAGGCTGTTGGTTAGCACTACGGAGATGTGTTGAAGCCAAGAGTCAGGTCGTCAAATGTTTTAGTGCCTAGTTGTTGCACTTTCTGACTGTAGTTAGTATGTAGTGACAGTTACTCTACACTCATATCCATACGTCCTTTTCCTTTCTACATTAATTTTATTTTTGCCATATTGGCTCAACATCCGAGTTTCAAAGAGCTTTTAGTGGATGACTTAATCCATTTTCGGCAATACTTACAACGATCCAATCAGTCATATTGTAGATCAGGCTATGCTGTGGGTAAGTGTACTACTGGCCTTGTATGGCTTATTGTTTGCCAGCGAGTATTTGGCATCATCTACTAGTATTCACTCGTTTGACAGCCAAAAAGTATTTGTGTGGGAGGCTGGGAGTCTCGCACCTGACTTGGTCACATTGTGCCTGAAGGTCACTAAGACGCGGCCATATACGGTGGAGCCGTCGCAGTTCCATCTACTGTCGACGAAACATGCCCGGTACATGACAGCCCATGCCTGTGTTCACTTTTGCCGAAGGGATCCACCTTACACGGCCTTATTTAAATAAGATACTCTGTCACGCTCTCAACTGTTATCAGGTTAGCTCCCGCTCCATGCCCATTGTTGGAGCGACAGTCCTGGAATCCAGAGTTGCAAGTGAGGTGGTGATACGGCAAGCAGACGGTGGCAAAGTACGGCTTCAAAGCTCTACGTCTGGCAAGTGGCCGGCATACCACCCCAATGGACATCGGAACAGTACAAGTAGAGTAGCATCTCTACGTGACAGGGTATGAGCGCAAGTGAGTTCTTATGCTCTCCTAATGTGCATTGATTCTGTGACTATAGTTGGTGTACAGCTCTCATCACATGAGCCATAGGCGGGGTTTGCTATTGTCACTGGAAAATTCAGCCCTAACAAACAGTGTGATGGATGAATTTGACTCCAGGTATCTGCTTTTGGGAATGCCATGTATGCATGTCTGGCGTGCTGCTGCTATAATGTTGTGGCAGCAGCATTTTGGTGCGATGGATTGTTCTTGTAACGGTGTACCTACCCATTTGCTGTTGCCAGATGCCGTGTTTTGTCAGTTGTGCCTGTTTGAAGGTGCCAGGCCAGCTTGTGTTGGTGCGTTCCCGTTAAGTTGCCAGGGCACCATATTTGTAACGGTGTTCCCGTTTTGCTGTTGTGGGGCTGTGTTTGTATCGGTGTGTTCCCGTTGAAGTTGACGGGGCACCACGTTAGTGGATTGTGCCTGTTTGAAGTTGCCAGGCCAATCCTGTAACGCACACCCGTTTGCTGATAATTGGGGACCATGATGTTTGTCAATTTTGCTCGATTCACATGGCTGCGCCAGTTGCCTTGTGCGGATTAGACCGTTATCTGGCACTAGTCTTGATCTGTTTTATTCAGATTCAGATCAGTTATTGTTCCTATACGAGAAAATCTGTGGGTGCACATCCAATTCATTTGCAGATTTGCGTGCTTCTCCTGCAACGGGCGTTTACATGGTACATGGTGTGTGGGTGTATGTGTGGTGTGTTCATGCTGTGCAGGCCAGTATTGCCAAGCACTGGGGACCTTTGGCAATCTGAAGAATGTTTTGTCCGAGAATCGATCCTTGGATCTGTGGCGTTGCAATTGTGGTGCTCCCGACCCTCTTGCGCGATGGCGAGACTTGGCGAAAAGGTTCCAGACATACGGCATCTCAATATCTTCCACCACGATCAGTACATCAGCACTACCATCGAGCGTAGCGACATCAGCAATAGAAGATGCACATGATATCATTCCCCCTTAGCGAAGACCCGGGAATACCTGAGATGTTAGCCGCGACTTTACTGGAAAAGTCGTCGGTGACAACGGCACTCCGTATTTTAGCTGCATGCAGTTAGGTCTCTCAACAAGTGTACCCAAAGTTTTCAAGCTAATACACAAGCAAATTCACTAGGATCCGAGTATATATTCCTACACCTCTCCCTGTTGTTGTTATTTCTGTATTCAAATTGTTTGTGTACCTGTACATTTATTACAGTAGAGCCACGAATCCACGACTGTTGTTTCCAAGGGGTCAGGCTCGTCAGTTATACAAAACCTCTCCCTGTTGTTGCTCCTAGTTTTCTTCTGCATTCCGGTTCACATCCGGCTGCGGCCTACTACCCTCACTCTGTGTGCTCCTGCCTCTGTTGTCTGGGTCCATGTCGTTATGTCGGTGTATGTGGAGCGAGAAGCAGAGACTTGAGTCAATTGACACTGCGTTTCTTTTTAAATGGCTGTGGTGTTCCTAGAGGTATACACGTACATTCCTGGGTCCCACGTTCTGTGACGCCCGACTGTATTCGTGGTATTCGTGGTGCATCAACACTTTTTTAATTTTGTGCACTCATGAAAACCTGCCTGAGGCTGCAGAGTGTTGACTGGTGTTTTGCTTAAAAAAACATCATGTCTCCCCAGATTTTCTAGTCTGGCCCTGAATTTTGCCCCTCTTCGGTTTCGAAACCTAGTGTGGTGGAAAGCCTAGCAGTGTTGTGTGTGCATGTGTGTGTTTTGTACAGTGCTGGCCAGAGAAATCCAACCTCGTTAATAAAGTAGCGCCGCGTTCGAGAGCACAGACCGGTCCAGTATGTTTACTACTAGGGCTGCGTAGCGCCCGGTGCAATTTTATTCATAAGGTTGGATTTCTTTGGCCAGCACTGTAGTTAGAAGTAGGTCCTCTGTTTGTGCGCACTTGTGGTCACAGTGGCAGTAGTGGGTGAGGGGTAGACTCAGTTACTACGAAGATGGTGTATACATGATGGTGTATACAGTCATGTAGTTGAATGTTACTTCGGGCTTAGACCCAGAGGTTCTTGCAATGATGACCCCGGGTTTATGTACATGTATCATTCAGCTACCGTTGCCACAATGGCACTAGTTGACAGAACACCTGTGTATAAGTGCAGGCTGTTTATCTAGCATTTTCCAAAATAGCACTCCGTACTTCGAGGCTGCAGCCGTTTGCATGCAACGTTGTATGTGTTGATCGGTTGACAGCATGTGACAAAGCCGAGGACACACTAGTGTATCAGGAGCACTGTTTTTTAACACAGTGCGTCCCCCGCCTTGTAACATGCTGTCAACCGATCAACATGTTAATTTATCAAACAAGGCTTACCTATACCAACATTATACATGTAGGGCTGTGCATGCTTTCAAAATTCTTCCTTGTTGAAGTAGAATATCGTGCTCGTGGGGGCTTTAGTAGTTCTTTTGCCAGATGTTCTATGCGTATCTCAATGACTTATCAGTTTGAGCACTCGGGCAAGGCACATTCGGGCCTACACATGTAGCCTTGAATTCTGGCTTGGAGGCATTATTTATCTATTTTCATGGCTGCTAGGTTCATCCTTAGTTGAGAGTTATTTCTCCGTGATTCGCTGATGACTCTGAGTCCACAAAGGACAAAACAGCTAGACAGTACTAGTGCTGTCCCCAGATCGTGTATTCTAAATCCATAATACTGACGCTCAATCTCCGGACAGCTGTTTCAAACTTTTTAGGTCTCATCAGTGGAGCTCAGAGCGGGAGGTTATTTAACAAATGGCAATACGGTCTATACGAAATGAACAAAAAAAGAAATTTGAAAATGGCTCAAAGCATCAAAGTCAGCGAGCTATCTGCAAGACACGTACAAAGAGAGCTTTGCACGAAGGCAGATACATATTACATATACCTTTGACACTAACCAAAAAGAGTGCTCAATCAAGTCAACGCAAGGCAGCGTAATGCGGTGATTGAGTCTATAAAAAGCTATAGTGACATGTAGCCAGCCCCCCCCCCCCCCCCCCCCCCCAGCACAATAAGCTGACTTGCATCATGCTAAAATCGTTCACACAAATCTCTTATAATAAAAGCACTCTGGCAAGGTGCGTTCGGGCCTGATTGGAAATTTTTATTTCCATTGCTATCAGGTTCGGCCTCATTTCCTCTGTGCTGCACTGACGAGTCCACAAAGGACGAAACAGTTCTGTCCGCAGATTGAGTAATAATTATTATATAGATTGCAGGATAGGGTGGTTGCACCAGGAAGTGCTGTCTCTGCGATAGTGGGACCAGCTAAGATTGCAGTACAGTCGTCCACCATCAATCCAGCACTTCATTGGCCAACTCCCTCGATACACCAGCATGATTTCCGGGATTACCATTCATCGACACATGCCCCCCCCCCCCCAGTCTTCGGCACCTGACCCGAGTTCTATTTGGGCCGCACTACTTTGTAGCAGTCATACTATAGTACTAGAACTGGATGCACGTGATGTCCACTGGAATTGGCGCTGGCCATGAGCTGATCCACCGTCGTGCCTCCCAGTGTCAATTTTGCTTATGTGATCCTACCACAATCTGGAACATTATCAGTACTCGCCTCTGTTTACTTGCCAGCACTAGTTCTGGTGGATCCAGGCATGTTTCTGCCTTCTCTTCAGCATGTATTCTCCTGCAGGTGCATCTTTCACCTCCTTCTAATGCGCGAGCACATTTTCTGTGGAGATTCAACGACACATACACCAGAAAATACAGAACGGAACAGTGGCTGCCAATGTAACACAAGTACCTTATAGACCTAAAAACTCATAAGCACCCTGGGAGTTAGATGCATTTACGGGCTGTATGCCAGGATTTGCGCAGCTAATTTCAAATCAGATTAGCAATGCTGTGTGCTACCTAGGCGGCATCTTGGACTCAAAAACCAACCGATTGTGGTCCAACCCAACCGACAGCATTGTTGGTGGGTTCCGATTGGCAGGTGTTGGATGGCCGTATGATCCATGCGTCCCCACAAGCAATGAGAAGTTAACAATGCCACTAAGGATATAACAGGGCTGCCACACTTGGAGGGAGAAAAATCTGACGGGGGTCCGGGGTGTCCCGCGGCGAAATATTTTAAGAAAATGGCTTGCTGTTGGGGCCCCAGAACACATTTTTAACTCTCCACGCACATGCAAGCACGTGTGAATTTTACAGCTACATGTACATGTACATTTACAATGACTGGACAAACGCGACCTGGAAGCGCCGAATGGCCAACCGGACTAAAAAGCGCTCAAAATAAAATAATCGGTTGTCCCTCTTTGGGAACAAAATCGGTCGGTTTGTCCGACAGGCGATCAAAAATTGGACATTTCCAAAAAATCGGAGCAAGTGGCAGCCCTGATATAATATCGCGGACAGCAGTACAATGAAACTGGGCCATTCGTTATCAGCAATATCAGGGGTATATCCCATCCGATAAGGCGTACAGCTCGTGTATGGCGGACTTTACAGCAGGTCCCGACATAGCTTGCCCCGTGCCCTTTACTACTCCTGGGCCAGAACTGTTGTACAATATTCGAGAGGGTCTAGCCTAGTGAGTGTGAGCAGAACCTGGCAAACCATATCTCCAAGTGATTCACATGTTGGTATATTCTCCGTTATCATACATCAATTCCGAACAATTTGACACCTGAATATTCTCGCACCACTACTGCTGAAGTATTGACCACAAACCATGTTCCATTTGACTTACAAAAGGAACATGGAATGCACTGGATGCACTGGAATCTGCAAAGACTCTCACATAGTCATTATTAGCCACCATACATACCTTTCGGGAAGTCACGGCGTGTTGGAAGCAGAATGCTCGGAGAGCAGAGCTGAGTGAGATCTGCATACAGTAACACAGCGACAATGAATCCCATGAACAGAAGGAAGCAGTCTTATCCGTACACATCTGAGTATGCGCTTGTGGGAGGAAAATCCGTGCGACAAAAGAGGACCGTACTATGCAGGTGTATGTAGTACCCGGGTACGTACTAAGTGAGTTCCACCGTACGTATATAATTTTATTGCAATTGAATCACTTGACTGACTGGAGCCAAAAACATCAATTGGCACTTACTCCGGTTACCCGAATGTTTCGGTACCACTACCATTAGGTTTGTTGCAATCGAACCAAGTCATAGTTGTGTCATTTTCAATGCGTTAGGTGTTACCTGACGTGCTCAATGCATCAGCCGCTATGTCAGATTCCACCAGCCATGCACCAAACTAGGCGCAATGCGCACACTGATGATGGTGGTTGTCACACAACGAGCAGTAGTCAAAGTGAAAGGACTTCTTGCATGAGATTTTGTTGTAATTTGTGCCCGTCAAATTGTCTCAGTGTAACTAGTTTATCGTTAGCTTACGAGTTTGTTGTTTGAATTTGCGTTCAGTTTATTTATTGTTTATTTGGCACAGATTTTCTGTGCTTTTGGTTGGATGACGTCATGAGGCTACGCGGACTCGTCTCAGTCGCGTATTCTTCTGCAGATCTGGCTACTTTTTCGGTTGCTTTGTAGTACTTTTTTGGCTTCGTTTGCGCTGCTGTGGGTGCTTTGTAGGCGCACGTGTACGTGCACGTTCTGCTGATGAGAGCGTCTTGGCTTTCGCTGCTTGTTTCTTCGATATTTTCCTTTTCTGGGTACTAGTAGTTGTTGTTCCTTCCGTGATGGACGGGTAGTTTTTTTTCTCTCTTGTTTTCACCTGTATCTTATATTTTCCTGCAATGTAAATACCACCAAACTGAGTTGTGTGAGCCTAGTCGGTTGGATCAAGTGTAGGCGATCACGCCAGGATAGATACGCTGTTTTGATCCAGTGGCGGTGACAGATAATGGCCACGAAGCCAAAGTTCGAGGAGAGATTGTCAGCCAGCTCGGGCTACAGACAACAAAAGCCAACGTCCCGCTGGATACCGCTGTTCTGGGGGGCGAGAAGCTCCGTGTGGAGCATTATGCATCAGCTGAACTATGTCACGCTGATGGTCAGTCATCAATGACCGTCAGAGTGTGGATGCTTCCGCGCATCATGCGTCCCGTCCCAGCCTTCGACTGGACGGAGGAACTGAAACGCTGGCCGCATCTCAGTGACGTCGTACCTGCAAGCAACGAGTCCAGAGTGGATCTATTGATTGGTCTCAATGCGCTACAACTGCACATTTCACTTGCCGAGCGATTCTGCAGTGAGGGAGGTCCAATTGCCAGGAAGACACAGTTGGGCTGGGTACTGTTCGGCGAAGGTCCGACTGACAGCGCTTTAGAGATGGCGGAACAATCACTACTGGCTGTGAGTGACAGTACACTGATAAGCACCGTCAACAAGTTATGGGACCTCGAGAGCGTTGGCATGCAGGCCAAGAGCACATCATCCTACCTGACTCCAGATGAGTGTGAGGCTGACGCAATGACCGTGCAAGGTCTCCACCACAACGGCACACGGTTCGTTGTCGGCATCCCATGGCGAGGCGAAGGTAGCAAGCCAAAGATTCAGCAGAGATCGGAACAGTACGCCAGGAAGCGACTCTGCTCGCTACACCGTCTGTTCCAGAAAAATCCTACTGTACAGCTGCGCTACTCAGAAGTGCTTCAGAACTACCTGAAGAAGGGCTACATTCACACAGTATCAACGTCCGCAGTTCAGGCTGCTGGTGTCAACCAGTGGATTCTGCCTCATTTCCCAGTAATCAGAGAAGACAAGGCCACAACAAAAGTTCGCGTGGTGTTTGATGGCTTAGTCAAGGTGCACGGAGAGTGCATCAACCATCTCATGCACACCGGTCCGAAGTTGCAGAGTGCAGTGTTGCCACATCATTTTGGTCAAATATCAGTAGGGTGAAAAAATAGAATGCATCATCTGGGGGCTTTGCCCCAGACCCCCATAATAATAACCCCAGTATACACATGCACACAAAGCGCACTGTTAAAAATCACGGTTCTGAGTGAAACTCAGGTTGAGTTTTCAGATTTTTCCCGAGACAGAATAATGATTTCACTTAGCACCTTATTAGGAGATGAGAAAGCAATGGAAACAAACATGATGACCAGTAAAAGCAAAATCTGGATCATGACTTCTAATTTAGTTCTAAACGAAGCACAACGACAAAACGGGACATTTTCATGTCTGTTGTCGGCAGGCCCTCGGAAAAGGTCAATTGTCGGCGGGTCGGGATATGCCTCCAAAATCAGCAGGCTACTGACATGTCGGCAGGTGTGGCAACACAGAGAGTGACTTCGTGAAAGTTTTACTCCGCTTCTGTCATCAGCAGATCGCACTCGCCGCAGATATCTCTGAGATGTTCTTACAAGTCAAGCTGTGCGAGACGGATCGCAAGTACCATCGGTTCATGTGGAGTGAGTCACCACAGGACCCAGTGGTGTTCTTCTTTGAGTTCTGCCGGGTTGTATTCGGCATGCGTGCATCACCTTACCTCGCAGGAAGAGCACTGAAAGCAACGGCAGAGAAATTCAGTGGCGAGGCTGGCGCCGAGGTAGCACAGGCCATTGATGACAACTTCTACGTGGACGACTTGCTGATGTCGCTACCGTCAGTACAATCTGCAATCGTCACTCGGCGTGATCTTCAACAAGTTACACAGCGTGGTGGTTTTCACTTGCGGAAGTGGATGAGCAATACGGAAGCGGTGTTGGATTCCATCCCACCGGAAGATCGAGCCAGCAACAAGATGATGACCAAAGCCAGCAGTGAACTGCCACCTCTTCCTCACAAGGCTCTTGGAGTCGCCTGGGAGCCAGATGATGACCAGTTCACATTCATCTATCCAGAACCGAGCAACGTCCAGTTCACACGGCGAGGAGTGCTCAGTCATATGTGCCGACTGTTTGATCCCAGAGGACAGCTGTGTCCATTCACCATCCGCAGTCGAGTTCTCTTCCAAACCACCTGCATCCGTGGAACAGACTGGGATAATCCTCTGGACAGTGATCAAGCATCAGAGTGGAAGCAATGGTTCTCAGAGTTCCCAAGTCTGAGAGATGTGAAGGCAAGCCGATGCTTCACCGAGATCAGTTCAGATCAGCCTCTGCACTCCACACTTTCACAGACGTGTCTGCATCAGCTTACGCCGCCGTGACGTACGCCCGACAAGAGCGTGATGACGGGACTGCAAAGGTGACATTAGCGCTCGCCAAGGCAAGACCAACACCTATCAAGCGCAAGACCACCCCATGCTGGAACTGCAAGGTGCAGTGCTAGGCACTTGGTTGAGCTGCTCCGTGGGTGAGTCACTTGATGTTCCTGTATCACGGCAGTACTTCTACACTGACTCGATGAATGTGTTGTACTGGGTAAGATTGCCCAGCAGGAAATTCAAGATCGAAGTCGGAAACCGCATCTCGGAGATCCAAGAGTTCAGTAATGCAAGTCAATGGTGTCACGTCAGCACCACAGTCAACCCTGCTGATATGCCAAGTCGAGGTGTTGGTGCGACACAGCTGGCCGGTGATGCAACATGGTGGACAGGTCCAGCCTTCTTGTCCAAGCCCACCTCCACATGGCCCAGTAAGTACATTGTGCTACCAGCAGAGCTTCCAGGTCAATTGAAACGAGAGATCACGATGGTGGCCACTACGCAAGAGCTGCCCACAAGCCGTCTTCATCCAGACCACTTCTCCTCCTGGGATCACCTCGTACGGATAACCACATGGTGCCGACGATTCGTCAACAATGCTAGGCGACGCAGCACGCAAGCCGCCAGTCCTGAGATTGCGACCAAGTCCATGACTTTACCAACTGGGAGAAACGTCTCCGTGCCAGAGTTGACAGTGTCCGAGCTATGGGGTGCTAAGTGTGTATGGATCAGCTTGGCTCAGCGAGAGGTTTATGGCAGAACGTTTGCAGATTTCACAGGAGGCAAGGGCCTCCCAGGATCCTCACCGCTACAAAAGCTTCAACCAGTACTAGACGCAACTAGTGGCGCTGGTGTTCTAAAGGTCAATGGGAGACTTCGCACTGCACACCATCTACCAACCGGCATTCGGACACCAGTTATTTTACCGAAAAGTCACAGAACAACAAGGCTAAGCATCGCAGCAGCCGACGCAAACGCCAATCATGCCGTCGGTACGAACCACCCCCTATCACTGCTCGCTGGTGAATACTGGGTAGTCAAAGGCAATGCAGCAGTCAAAGAGCACAGGAGCAAGTGCATTCTCTGTCGGAAGCGCTACGTCAGGACGGCAACACCAGCAATGGCACCGCTGGTCCTTTTTCTTTCCATAAATTTATCCTTGGCTCTCCATCCGAGTCCACTGGTGTGAGTGTATGTGTATACGCCCGATTGTGAGTGAGAGCATGTACAGTATAGGCAGGGTTCTAGCCAGGAAACTTTCAGTGGGGGTGGGTCAACCCATTTCTCCATGTTCCCTTACTGCCTGGTTACACAAAATTCATCGTATGGGGGCAGTGAGCACCAGGAACGATTGATTTGTAGCCGCATTTTTGTTGTGTGAACTGAAAAAAAAACCACAAAAATCGAAAGATGAGTAAGGTGGCGTGCTATCAGGGGAGGGGGCTGCCCCTGTAACATTCCCTGACATTCCCTGTAACTGCCCCCTCTTTCCCTGAATTATTCCTCACGGGCTCCCATGGCATACACAAGTTTACGAGACATGCCTCTTGTTGGATGAGAGCAACGAAGTAAACAAGAAATGCTGTTCTTTTCGAAACGCGAGTGCACAGTCCAGAGTTCACGGACTATGCTGGGAGTGCGGTACGCACTGGCTGCACAGTGCGGAGTTGCAGCATGCACATGAGGGTGCATGCTGGTCTGAAGACAGTGTTCTTTTTGTTCTTGCACTGCTGCTGTACAGTTGCAAATCCCACCCGCCCACCCAATTGGATAGTCATTGCTAGATATGTATGTGCATATGGATTTATTGGCTGAGTAAGCAGTAGTGCGTGTATGTGGCGAGCATGTTTCCGTGTGTGGGCCAATTTCAGATAATTCTGTATTAAGGTAGCACATTGGCTTTAGACTGGCCCATTTGGGGTTATTCAGCATCTCCACCATTGTCGCTGGCGGCAATTCCCATTAATCAGTGCACTAGGCCGTGGTGAACGCATTTCGATCGGAAGTTCATGTATCCATTGTACCATGGCTTGGATCGCTTACTGTCTTGCGTTGTTTTCCTTTTGTTATGCTAAAGCGATGTGTACCAGGCTGCCATAATTATGTTTAAATGCTGTGTACCTGTGGCATAGTTATATTAATACACATGCGGTGCAAGAATTGGAGCAGCTGTTGCTGCGACCCTGCAGTTCTATTGTTGTTGTTGTTGTTGTGAGTGTGTACGAGAGAGTCGAAAAGAAATAAGCTACACGTCATAGGTTGCCATGGCCCAGGCTAGTATATGCATACAATGCCTCGCGGGTCCTTATGGCCCAGGCTTGTACGCTGCATGGTATTATTTTGACCACCGGCCCACAGTTACGTCGCCCTCGCTGCCAGGTAAACATGGCTGCCGGTTGTTGAGTTTATGTTCCCCTGCTTTCTCTTTTTTTCTTGTCTTCTTTTACTTTCTTTGCAGTGCGTATGTGACTTGTGAGTGTTTCATATTTACAATTGGTAAACTAACTGAGTGAGCGTTTTGTGAGTGATCGCCTCCGGAGCTCCGGGGCCAGCTACTACATGAGTGTTGTACATGTGGCTGCACTTATAGCTCTTCATTGTACATGCGGCTGCGCATGTAGCTCTTTGTCGTACATGCTGCTGCATTTGTGTCTCTTTGTCGTATCTGCTGTTGCGTTTGTGTCTCTTTGTTGTACATGCTGCTGAAAAGGTGGTGCACGCTGCTGCGCTGTCTTTGAATGCTTTGTACATGAGGCTGCACCGTCTTCTGTCCCCTCCGTATGCACTCTTTCTCGTCTTGTCCCCGTTGTATGCGCATTTTCTTGTCCTGTCTACGTTGTATTCGTCTGGTTGCCGTCTTGTCTCTGTCGTATTTGGTCTTGTCTCCGTCGTATTTGATCGTCTGTCGTCTTTGTCTCCCTTCCCGTTCGGGACTGGCTTTATTACGCACAGGCACCAATTTCGCGTCCACCACCGCACTCTTCCTCCCGTCTTCACAATATATTCCCTTGTCTTGTCTGGTCTCTGTGTCAGTTGTCTCGTCGTCTCCTCAGAGAAGGAACTAAATTATACTGTCTATAACAAATTGGCATTTTGTTGTGTGGCGCGGTCGCTTTGAGGAGAATAGTTCGTCCCATAAGCTAGACATAGAAACGTCGCATCAAGTTGACGACATAAGCAACCGAAGGTCGACTACAAATAAACAGGTGAACACATGAATAGAGAAGGGCATTGGACAGCAATAAGGTCACTTCATAATGCACACACCTTTGAGATTATCGGGTTGTAGAACGTGCTGATGGTGGCGCCATCTTTGACACCTGTGTCCACACGCACCTGTCCTGTCCTGTCCTGTAGAGTCACTGCCGCAAAAGGGTCACGTAATCCCATCACTGGGAAACTTGAGAGGAGAGAGAGAGAGGACACGACGCTCGATGACGCTCCAGGTGCACGGGTAGTCGCATCCGCTTGCCGCATATGCACACGTGCTGGAAGGCTGAGCGCTCCTCTGCTGTTGGTCTATGTGCCACCCTTGAACAGCGATGCCTGCCCCGTCCCCGGACACCGCGAAAGCAGCGACCACACCTGTCACAATGCGCGGCACAACATCCTTCCGCCGGTGCCGACGTTCCGGTAGTTCCAGGTGGCACTGCGGCATCCACCGTTGAGGCACACACATGCCGGACCAAGCCACCGCGGCTTCTCAGCCACCGCCCACACCGCCCGCACTGACTGGCGCCCCGCTGCTCAGACACAGGCCGCGCACGCTCCTCCAGACACTTATGCCGAGCCATGTCTCCTTTCCGTGCAAAATCCCGTCCGCATACCGTACATACCACTCGGGGCGGAGGCTCAGGCACATTGTCAGGTTCTTGGTAGGTGCTGCGCCACTCCGCGCGGGACTCACATGCAACATCATACCATGATGCCTCCACGCCACGGGCACGTAGATCCCGGACAGCACAGTCCTTCCATCTGCGGCGTGGGCCATGTGCTGGGCGATGCTGCAAGAAGGAGCCAAACAGTACCTGTTTTGGGATGCGGTTGTCCGGCGTCCGCGCCACATGCCCCAACCACTCCAACCGCCGATGTGCAATTTTGTCTTTAATCGTCTCGGAGTCTCCCCAGCGCACCAGCAGCTCTTCGTTGGTGATGTGTTCGTCCCACATCCGGCTTCGAGAGACCCCGAGGATGGATCGGATGCACCTCATGCTGAAGGTTGAGAGCTTCTGCAGGTCATGTTGAAGGGGCGTCCAGCACTCAGAGCCATACAACAGCAGGGACAGAACGCAAGCATTGAATACGCACCGCTTGGTGTGCATCAGCAGATGTGGATTGGAGAATACAGACCTCCGAAGAGCACCGCAGGCCCTGGAGGCTTGGGCAATCCTTGCGGCGATGTCCCGGGACGAACGGCAACCGCTGTCCACTACAGAACCGAGGTACTTGAAATGCGGTACGCATTCCACCTCCGCTTGACCAAGTTGGAGGGGAGCGCGGTCAGTAGGCGTGATGCCGGGGCCAACAACTACAAACTGAGTCTTCGTTGCACTGATGGTCAAGCCGAATCCCGACGCCACCTCGTGAAGACAGCACAATGCTGCCCCCGCTCCAGACCGAGTCGTAGCGAATAGACAAGAGTCGTTAGCAAACTGGGAATCTGTTAGGCAATGGTGTTGGTCGTCACGGCGGCCTGTGCATAGACACGCAGCCCAAGCAAGTAGAAGCAGGCAATAATACATACAACTTCTGATGAGCGAAAGTGAGAAAACCGCAACTGAACACCCATGAGTGAAATGAAACAAAGACTCAAACTGCGACGTCACCATGGGATGTTACGACTGTGCGGAGACCTGAGAATTGGTCGGTGCATACTTGTAATTTCTACATGAATTGTCCAATGAGCTCTCTGCGCATATCAGCAAAGCAGATATTGGACTCTATCACGATGATGCCGGGCATCGCTATCCTAGAGAACACACCTGGTCCGGTCACATCCTGTCCGATAAAGTGACTCCATCAACAATAGATAGGAGCTTGTATCTAAGCGTTGTCATGAGAACTTCCATTCTCATAACTTTCCCGGCAAAATCATGTGAAAATAGCTTTATTCCTGAAGCTATGCAACCCATATTGCCTAGATCGTTAGGAGTATGCGAATATACGTGATCGTTGCATGTCTGGAATGTGCACAAGCGCAGACTACAGACACTGCAGGTCAGGGGCGTCTGACACGGTACAGTCACTATGGCAGGGTGCGAAATAACGGTCGGACATCGGACAATGTCCGACCGTTAACGGTCAGTTTCCGGATATTTTGTACACACCCGGACAAAGTGTCCGCGCACTTTTTTGCAAAGTACAAAAAAGAAAAGGCACGTCAATCCTTTGTCTCATAGTACTAGTCATTACAGTCCATTCCAAAACTATAGACGCGTAGGATTTTTGAAATGTTTCAAATTTGGCTGGACCTTTTTGAGAATAGTTTTCGGAATATTGCTCAGGATTGCTCCACAATTACTCTCATATAGTTTCTAAACGATTGGATAACAGACGCCCAATTTGGAAAAATTTATGCACAAAGTGATCACAGATTTTATGTGGTATAGATGCTGGCATAACGGTTTTTGCCTAGGTATGCGTCTATAGTTTTGAAATGGACTGTAGTGATGTCGTCTGGCAAGAGTAAGCCAAGCACCGCTGATGCGGGTGCTCCTCTTGGAAAGAAGCCCAGAGGAGTCAAGACGACCACTTGTGACAAGTGGGTCGCCGAGTATGATAGGGAGCTTTCAACTTCTGTTTGGCTGAGCTATGAGCGCAGTCCCTCAGATCGTAGCGTTGTCGAAAATTTGAAGTGTAAGATGTGTTCCCGTTTAGTTGATAAAATTCGCAGCAGCAAGAATTTTTCTGACTCCTTCGTCGTTGGCTCAAGGAACCTGAAAACGTCAGCCTTCGATCATGCTGCTTCTGAAATGCATCGCCGTGCCATGGCATTGTTTGGCAAGGAGCAGTCAAGCGGAAACCCAATAGAGTATGCGCCAATCGCTCGAGCCTTGTGCAAACTTGACGACGCAGCAGCAGCCAAAGCTTGCAGTGGTAAAACAGTAACAACAATTTTAATAATGCTCTTTTCACATCGTGATAACATTTCGATGGTATTAATTCTACACTGAACATTGTGTGATTTGATGTGAAAATTTGCATGTCCGGACATGTCCGGCCATTTTTGCAACTGGCAGGACATTTTGTCAGACCTCATTTTAATCCTTAGGGGCCGTCCGTAAATATCGATGTTTTTTTAGAGACGATATTGGTGCGTCTGGGGGGGGGGGGGAGGGGGTTTGAGCCATGTGCGTCTTTTCGAGCATCAGAAAAATATCGATGTAAATATCTGAAGTTTCGCCGATCCCTGCACGCGGACGTCTAAATGGCTATACAAGAAATGTGAAACCAGCTTCCGTTCGCGGAGCTAAAACTCGCGACACAAGAACAAAATCAAAAATTGGAAGCTGTACGCCCATGGCGAATTTCAAGAGCAAAAGAATGAGCTATTGATTGTGGAAATCGGCCGAACGATGCCTGCAGGAGACCTTTTTCAAGACGTAGAGGCAGTGCGAACAAACACGGACGAACTCCACAAGAGTTTCCAGTCTTCACTGTCTGAACAAGGATTTGAAAAAATTCAAGCCCGAGCGTAGCCGCTTTGGCTACACCAGTACACGAGGGCGACCAAAAAAGTCACTGGTCATAATGCTCTCCTTCTCAATTAGACCATATAAATACTGCAAACTTGCCATCTTGGGTTCATATTATTGACAAAAAAAAGAAAAAAAAATGAGCATCCAAAAATATTGATTCCATGATCTAGATGTACATGTGCGTCTTCTGGGGGGAGGGGGGGGAGGGTCAAGGGAGAGAAGCACCAATATCGTCTCTAAAAAAACATCGATATTTACGGACGGCCCCTTAGCGCATGCGCTGCTATGGTATTGACCGTACCACTTTTTGCCACAGGTACCTCGCCGTGAATTCATAAAAACAGTCATCTGGGCTATAAATTTTCAATTTTTTTGGCTCAGCCACCCCTCCCACACAAGTAAATTGTACTTCAGATGGCTGGCCGTACCACACTAAAATACCTTCCGACGCCCCTGCTGCCGGTATTGAACAATTCTACTATTGAGTGCAAGTTGCATTGACTCGACCAGTACAATACCTGTAGTTATTGCCCTGCAACAGTACTTTTTTATCGTCTTGCACTTACTTGCAGCTTCAACTGCCATTCCAGGAGTTAAACTAAATTACTGCAGTCTTCCTTCATACTAAGAGTATATAAATATATTCTTGTTTAATTAAACTTTAAACATTCACTGGCTTGAGGGACCTATAAATACAGTTAAAAAGAGTACTCGATAGCTCGCTCGTTAGCACAAAAATCCGTTCGCTACTGCTTTGTTTCTACCCTTCTGACTTATCACAAGACTGTAGGCACGGAGATGACCAATCGCATTGCACCTAGCTGGGCCTAGATGAGGCGATCAAAGCGTGCTAAAAGAAGTAGAACTCCATATTTAGTGGAGCGGGCTTTGATTTTCCCATCAAAGCACGCGGCCGAGGCGGGCTTTGATTTATGATCAAAGCCCGGTCCACCAGGGCTTTGATTTATTTACTGATCAAGCTCGGTTTTTTTACGCGACTCGGGCTCGAGAAGGTTGAGAGTCGTGCTTTCAAGCGCGATAGTAAGATCGAAGTGCGTGTTCTTGTCAGAAATCCAATCAAAACAGTCGTGTTCATGTTCTATCAGCCAATCACAGCCCTTCGCGAAGTATTTACAAGTTCGATATGAGTTTCAAGCGTGGGTGCATGTCCGAAATGTAATCAAAACACTCGTACTCGTGTTCGATCAGCCTACATCACAGCCCTTCGCGCTCCGCGCGTACTCGTGTTCGATCAGCCTACATCACAGCCCTTCGCGCTTCGCGCGGCGGGCCGCGAGTGATTAGGCAATCTCACACTCGTACTCTTGCTTGATTCCATACAAAAGCAAACATCAGCACATAACACAGCCGGACTTGAGTTTATCTGATGTTGAATTAACTTACAAGTTACAAAAAAACATGTAATCAAGGAATACAAAAGATCACAAGTTCAATAACTGCAGAACATACGCATACACTACGGCTGCCCAACCTGCCAGGCGTGACCTACGTGTATCTAATGTGCGCACTGCACAGTATGCATTACTGAGTCTGTGGTATGTATTCACCACAGTTAGAGTAAGGGTTTCTAGTACTTTCTACTCTACTTTCTTCAAAGTATCCGATTACCGCCCCTTTCTCTGTGAGGCCTCGAATGAAGAACGACAGGAAAGACTTCAAAAGCAAATTCTGCGTGCCATAACAAACGAATCGAAAGAGAAGACGAAGCCGTGAATGGAGTTTTATTTTGTTCTTCGTAAATTTCTCACAGCTTGCACAAAGCGCTCCATTCTGAATTTCCGA